TCAGCAATAAATGAGGGAAAAAGTGTAACTGCGGTGAATAAGCGCCTGATTAGTCTGGCCATGGAGGAAATCCGCCGGGCTGCCCGAACCCTAAACAGTGTTAACACCATCGCCTCTCCCAGCGCATCAGCCCTGGGGGAAATTAGAAGAAATCGTGGCCTGTGTCCGCGAGGAGATGACTGGTTTAAGGAAACTGGTCAACACAGTGAAAAAACCAACCTACGCCCAGGCTGTCTCTGCGGCCAGTGGGGCTTCTACATCTGTGGGAGGGCCTGCCCCCCCGCACCGTACCAACTATCTCAAAGCCTGCCGTAATCATCACCCCGGCTAAAGATGTTAAAACGCGTCAGGAGGCTGTTGAATTATTTAGGAAAAGTATATCATATAGGAACTCCACTTATGCGCCGACTAGGGTTCAACCCGTATTCAACAACAAACTCCGCGTGGAGTTTGAAAATGTCTCACAAAGGGATGACACGCTCACAAGGCTAGAGAATAGCAAGGATGTCAAAGCAGAACCCGTGCGTATGCTTAAACCCATGGTTATTCTTAAGGGCATATCCAAGGATGTTCCTCGGAGGACCTGGTTAAGTTGATCAGCAAGCAAAACCCTGAGATATCCCATTTGATTGAGGGTGAGGGTCGTGACGGTGAGGGCCTCCGACTCCGCTTTAAGCGAGGTAATCGCAATAGTAATCTATATAACGCGGTGTTCCTGGCAGAGGCCAAGGTATACCGTAAGATTCTCGACTTAGGGAGGGTCTGCGTGGATCACCAGAGAATAACCGTGGACAGCTTTTCTCCGTTCTTGCAGTGCCACAAGTGCCTTCAGTTCGGACACATGAGGTCCAAATGCACCGCCACCGAAAGTCTTTGCTCGCACTGTGCTGGCTCCGACCACCAGGTGGACAAATGCCCTGTGAAAAATGAGCCTGGCAGCGTCAAGTGCTATAATTGCACTTCTCACAATGCCAGATTTAAATCCAACCAAGACTGCAAACATACCGCTAATTCCGATAAATGTCCCAGACTGCGAGCCATGAAAGATAAAATAAATCAAAGAGTCGACTATGGATTTGCACCATAAAAACATAAAAATTTTGCAGTGCAACATTGATAGATCGAAAAGCAGTCTTCATGAACTACTTGTGTCTTTCATGGCTGGCAGCCATGACATCGCATTAATTTCTGAACCATATGTTGGCTCGGGTCTGGAACTTAGAGCTGTTCACGGTGTTCAAATAATACAGTTCCCATCACTGGAAACAAGGGTCAAGGCCTGCATTTTGGTCAGGCCAGGATGCGGCTCCATTATGGGGCTCACACAGTATTCCACACCTAATCTCTGCGTAGCATTGCCTCTCTGCCGGGAACCGTGTTATATATATAGCTTCAGTGTACATCGAACCAGATAGAGATGAATCAGCCACTCTGGACAAATTGGATGCCTTTCTTAAGGCAACCGGCGACTCACCTAAAATTGTTGGGGGGGACTTCAATGGCTGGCATCCCATTTGGGGTAGCCCAGTCGCCAATGCTAGGGGTGGTGACGTGGTCGATCTGGTTTATGGTAACGAGTTGGTTGTCTGTAATGTTGGCGATTCGCCCACGTTCGAGACGATCACTCACGGCCGGCACCGGGATTCGATCATTGACATTACACTAGCATCTGAATCGATATACCATCTCGTATCGGAATGGCAGGTCAACCCCCAGATATGTACCTCATCTCAACACCACGCTATTGAATTTTACCTAAACAGTCCTAATTCTGATTTGTACACTAACTATAACACATCCACCTTCATATATAAATCGAAAAAAGCCTGTTGGCCTTTATTTAATGAAACTCTTCACTTACACTTAACACAATCTGATATCTTGGACATTAATATATCTGCCCTGAATCCCTCCGAGTTGGATGACCTCATAGCCAAAGTTGTGGAAATTATCCACATTGCCTGCCGTAAAAGTATGCGGATGAGAGGTAAGGGAGGGAAATACAAGCCCCCCTTGGTGGTCAGAAGAACTAGAGGCTCAGAACTCGAGATAATAAAATTGCATCATCGCATACAGGAGGCAAAGAGACGCGGTCTAGCCATAGAGGACTTAGTTCAGCAACACATGACTCTCAAAGCAGCATATGCACAAAACTTAAGAGCTGAGTCCACAAAAAGCTTTAGGGATTTTTGCAGCCTTCAAACCAAGGAGAATGTCTGGTCCCTGACTAATAGACTATTAAAAGAGTCCACTGCTAGACGCCCACCTACCACCTTAAAAATAAATAATAAGTTCACTGCGAACAATTATGAAACTGCAACTGCACTGCTTAACCATTTTTATCCTCCAGATCTACCAGACACTGACCCCCCGTCATCACGAGCTGACTGCCCACCTCGGATGACACTTTGGACACTAATGATGAACCACCCTTCACTTCAGAGGAGGTGCTGGAGCACTTGAGTCTAATGAACCCCAATAAGGCTCCCGGGTTAGACAATCTAACTTCGGATATTTGCCTGCAGTTCACAAAAAACTATCCGCGACTTATAACTGACATTATGAACAGGTGTCTGGCGCTTCAGCATTTTCCTGACTGTTGGAAGGTGGCGTATGTTAAAATTATCCCCAAACCAAGTAAGAGTGATTATGGTGAATTAAACTCTTTTCGTCCCATCGGATTGCTTCCTGTGTTTGGCAAACTGTTGGAAAGATTGTTTATCAAGCGTGTCACCTTTTGGGCCGCTGGCAACAACCACAGCTGCCCACGGCAGTTTGGCTTCCGCGAGCAAACAAACACAACCGCGGCCATTAACTCTGCGCTCGGCGTTATTCGTCGGGCCAAGGAAAGTGGGGAGCTGGTGATCGCACTATCATTGGACATCAAAGCGGCCTTCGACAATGCCTGGTGGCCGGCACTATTCCACAGGCTGAGGCTGATGAACTGTCCTCACAACATCTATGGACTCATTTGCAGCTACGTTCGAAACCGCGTGGTGACTCTCGATCATGCCGGGGTCAGGGTCACCAAGATGATGACTAAGGGATGCATCCAGGGTTCCGCCTGTGGCCCGGTGCTGTGGAACATCATTCTTGATGAGCTCCTTGAAGAGGAACTTCCGGCAGGTTGCCATATACAGGCGTTCGCAGATGACGTGTTCCTTGTCGTGTCAGCCAAAGATGTCCACCGGCTTGAGAGTGCGACTAACACTGCGCTCTCTCGTATCACTGCATGGGGATCAAGTGTAAAATTGGTATTTGGTCCCTCCAAAACTCAAATGATCGCGTTCACACCTGGTGCAAAGACTGCAAAAATCACTATGAACGGACACACATTAAAATTCTCTTCTGATGTCAAATTGTTGGGTGTCATGCTGGATGAAAAACTGCTATTCAATAAGCACATCCAGTATGTCATCGGTAAGGCGACAAAAATTTTTAATAAACTTTGCCTATTTACACGACCTACTTGGGGTGCACACCCGGAGAACATACGCGCTATATACCATCAGGTAATTGTACCTATTGTGACATATGCTGCTGGTGTATGGGGGCACGTCGCTTCCAAGAGAGGAGTCAGAAAGCGGCTGGAGAAAATGCAGAGAGGATTCGCCATCAAGGCATTTCGTACCGTCTCCACATCGGCTGCTCTGGCCCTCGCCGAATTTACACCAATCGACTTAAAAATTCAGGAGGTTCATGCGGTGGAAAGGACTAGATTGTCCTGCACGTCAGACTTTCTACCGCATGACATAACTTATGAAAAGCCAACACAATTACACGAACTTTTGCACCCCAGTGAGAGGATCACCATTCAACATGACACACTACATAGCCAGCGGGAGGTGGATGCCGCCATCAGTCCTGACTCGGTCTGTATATATACAGACGGTAGCAAGCAGGAGGACGGGGCTGTTGGGGCGGCCTTTGTTGCCTACGTTCCCGCGGGTGACTCACCCAACACTGTAGTTAAAAAATTCAAACTGCATGACTCATGCTCCGTATTTCAGGCTGAACTGCTAGCCATATTTAAGGCTTGCAACTGGACCCTTAACAATAATCACATCCAAACTGTTTTATTTTCCGACTCTCTTTCTGCTATAAAGGCTATACAAAACCGAAGTAATACTCACCCTATAGTGGTTGAAATACATAAAACAATTCATGAAATTAGGAAGTCTGGCTGCATTAAGATAGTATGGGTGAAAAGCCATGCGGGTATTGTGGGAAATGAAATGGCGGACATGGCAGCCAACGCTGGCTCTAAACTACACAAAACACCAGATTACGCACACTTTGCCATCTCGTATACAAAACATTTAATACGCACTAAACACCGGGCTCTATGGCAGACCCGTTACGAGAGTGCAGAACAGGGCAGACACACTAAAACACTCCTCCCCACACTTGATGACATTACCACACTCAACAAAATCACCTGTCCTGACTTCTACTTAACCCAAGTTCTCACCGGTCATGGCTTTCACAAGTCATATTTATATCGGTTCAAAATCACTCCTGATGACAGATGTCCTTGTGATGATATTACGTCCCAAACGCTGGAACATCTGTTGGAAAAATGCCCCGCGTTCGGTGCACAGAGAGCCACCCATGAGATATTATGTGCCAATGTGAGAGTGTCACCCTATAAAATAGTTGATATAATGAAAAAAGAGTCCAGTTGGAACTCTTATGTAACGTTTGTTAAATATATATTATCACGCCTTAAAAGGTTCAATGTTAATAATTAAAAATGCATTAACTTATACAGTTTATATTTTTCTCTATTTTTATTTCACGTCCATCATGTTTTTATTTTATACTGTCATATCTCGGCATAACATAAATTGTATATATTAATTCTGTCTAGTTTTAAGATTTTCTGTAAAAAAAAATTTCGATATTTTTCTTTGTTTTTTTTTTCTGTTTGTTAAGTCAGTAAGTTTTGTTTTATATCCCATTTTACCTGTTATTTCTTATTAACAATTAAGGTCCAATATCAATAATTTGGTACACATTGATTCATATTTTGTATATATTCTTCATCTTTACTTCACGCTCATTTAGTTTTATTTTATATTATCACAACATCATTCTTCTTGTATCTTAGCTGTTAATTGTCTCTTATCATATGTATAGTATTTTATAGTATATTTAGGCTAATATTACATCTTATCTTTATTGTAACTCCTTATTACATTAAGTTGCGGCGACGTGAGACTAACGAATCCAGTTTTTAGTATAGTGAAATTGTAAATTTGAAAAATTGCAAACTAATTCTTTGATATTAAAGTGTACCAACTGTAGCAATTATTATACTTGTATATTACTGTAATTTTTTTTAATATTAATAACATTTTTTCCCTTTCTTTCTATATTGTTTTCTACCATTTAGTTAACTATTCAAAAATGTAAATATAAGCTCTCAATGACAGTGTGCCCACTGCAAAAAAAATATTTGTTTTAGTATAAGTTGTCTTATGTTTTATGTGCTTTTACATTGTTAGTCCTTAAATTTTTTTCTCTCTTCTAAATACAAATGTATATATTTTGTTTTTCTTCTTCTACTACTTTTAAGCAAAATGTACATTGACTGTATCCAATCGCAGTCAATTTGTATAATTTTACTTGTGAAACATTGTTATAATAAGTAGTGTTTAATTTTAAGCAAATTTTGTGGAAACAGACAATACAATCCCTCTGGAGGTGGTGTAACCCCCGGAGGAAAAAAAAAAAAAAAAAAAAAAAAAAAAAAAAAAAAACCTAACCTAACCTAACCTAACCTAACCTAACCTAACCTAACCTAACCTAACCTAACCTAACCTAACCTAACCTAACCTAACCTAACCTAACCTAACCTAACCTAACCTAACCTAACCTAACCTAACCTAACCTAACCTAACCTAACCTAACCTAACCTAACCTAACCTAACCTAACCTAACCTAACCTACAATGCATTTAGTACAGATTGTCCAATACGGAAGAAATGGGAAGTACTCGCCAGGTCTACCGTAGCATATTGCTAAAACTGATTCAAATTTAAACACGGAACCTAACACCAGTACCCACCGATATCACGCGATCCAGACGAACCTTCAAAGGTGTGAGCTAGCCACGGCCGAACTTATTACAGAGGCGATCAAGCGAAAAACATCTTTCGCTATGGTTCAGGAGCCCTATATTGGCCGAATTGGTCAAATGAAGAACTACTCGGGGACGAGAATAGCACAAAGCGACAGAAGCCTGAGCACTGAAAAGGTGATTAAGGCAGCTATTGTGCTATTCGATGACGCCATTGACATGTCTCTATGCCCCAGTCTAACGACGGAGAACATTGCGGTCGCTAAATTGAGGACAGGGGCATGGGAGCTGGGAGTGGTGTCCGTCTACTTTGAGGGTGACCAACCAATTGAACCATATCTGAGGATGATTGGAACGGCTGTGGAGGGCTTAGGGACAAAAAACGTGATACTCGGTGGGGACGTGAATGCATGGAATACCTGGTGGGGAAGCCGGAAAACGGACGGCAGAGGAGTAGAGGTCGCCGCAAAGCTTGATGAACTTGAACTTCACATCATAAACCGGGGGACTGAGCCCACCTTCGATACATATAGAGGTGGGAAGAGATTCTCCAGCTGTGTGGACATAACAACCTGCTCGACTAGCCTACTCGGGAGGATAGGCAACTGGAGGCTTTCCGACGAAGTAACTAGTTCTGACCACAGGGCAATCCTATTTGATATAAATTTAGGAAAATCAATCGGCACTAATATCAAAAGAACGACCAGAAAATACAACACGAAAAAAGCGAATTGGGGCGAGTTTCGTGAGAAACTTGTCAAGATTTGGAATGAAAAAGCCATAAGTAAAGCAGAAATAGAAAAAATAGTAACAACAGAAGAACTAGAAATTAAAATAGAATTATATACAAATACAATAACAGAAGTATGTGAAAGCAGCTTAATGAAAGTAAAAACTAAAAAACAAATGGGATTGCCCTGGTGGACCCAGGAGCTGACACAACGAAAAAAGGAAGTCTCCAGGCTGAAGCGTCGAATCTCATACGCAGCGCCGGTCCGTCGCGAGTGGGTCGTCGAGCAGTATAAAAGGGCCAAAGAAGAATACCAACAAGAAGTAAAGAGAGCTCAGACCACCAGCTGGAAGGATTTCTGTTGTAAGCAGGACCGAGAAACAATGTGGGATGGGATATATAGAGTTATGAACCGCACATTAGTACGACAGGAGGACATCCCACTTGTTCGAGATGGGGAGACGCTGGGAAGCGAAGAATCTGCTAGAGTCCTGGCGGAGACGTTCTATCCGGATGACCGTACTGAGGAGGACGACACGGAACACATGCAAATAAGAGAAGTAGCTAAAACTGTGAACGAGGGGTCACATGATAGTCCATGTGGCCCATCCTTTACAATGGAAGAGCTGATGTGGGCCGTGTCGAGCTTCA